GGACAGCCTCACGACAACCGACGGGCCAACGCCTCGTAGACCTAACATCATGCCGTTCAACCTCACGACAAACGAAGAGACAACCTCACATCAACATCACGATCACATCAACATCATCGCCACATCAACGTTGTCATCACATCAACATCATCGCAGCATGCCATCCGAACCACCCCCATGGAAAGAACCCTTCACCCCGCTTTCAGCAAAAAAAGTGACGACGAGAATTTCAGCTGGGCCACCGATTCCTTTCTCCTTGGCAGCCCATTTCAGAAAGGCCTTCAAATCTCGCTTGTTGATTCCTTGCAGACATCAGGACACAGCTCTTCAAACGGAGGGTAGTCTCGTGGCACATCTGAGCCCGGTGCCACCAATCGGATTGACGTCTGCCGCGCTGCAGTCATACTTGGTGTAGTACCCACGCAGGGCTTCATCCACGTTCGCGGAGCCTGTGAAGTCTGGGCGAGAACAAGAATTCGAGGCTTCTGGCCACAAGAGATTCCATCGAGGTCCGACTGAGGCAGTAAGACTGGGCAAGAGATTCTTCCTGCCATCGCATTAGCCATCGTTCCCGAACCACATTTGCGACAGTGCCTTGTGCCTGGCAGCCTGCATGGCCGCATTGTACTACTCTAGGTTTTGACTCCTCGATGGCCCCACCGACTGACATACACTCGAGGTCACATTGGTCTGCTGCCCGCCTTCACACCGTGCCCTCCTGCCAGTCTTCACAAAAAAGCTCCGAAGTTCCGAAGACCTACTCGGAAGGCCGGGCCGAAGCGGCTCGTGCTGCCAGGATGCCCAGCACCAGCAGCGAGCCCCAACCAGGCCCGACCTCGCCCTTCATCGCCTCAGAGGCCGACATCGCCTCTTCCGAGGCCGGAACGGGGGCCTTCAGCGGGCCTTGTCCGTGGCCCAGGGCATGAGCTGCGCCATGAAGTAGGCCATGACCATGCCTGGATCGCAGCTCAAAGGCCCGAAGTTGCCGAAGTCCCAGCGAGAGACAAAGCAAAAAGCAAAGCGAAAAGCGAGCAAGAACGAGTTGTTGGAACAAGCTGCGGCTGCGGGCTTGGATGTTCTGCAAGGCGATATCCTCGGTACCGCTCTGATTCCACGTGGCATCCGCCTTCACCTGGCAGGGTCTTGCAATGCGGGAGCGTGCTGGCCGACACACCACCGGTCGATGCCTTCGACTTGTCAATCTTGTCCGATTCAAACTGGCCTGAAGCACCAAAAGAAGCCTTGCCTTGCCTTGCCCCGCTGACACAAGGACATCCACGCAAAGGCCAAGCCACATTGCTGAAACACCTTCACGATTCCATCAGTTATCGGCCGAATCGCCTCATCTACAAGTTCTCCATGAACGTGCGATATCTCGCTGCGACAGTGATTTTCAAAAGAAGACACGCAGTTGAAAGCTGAGGAGCAATTGAGGTGTGGTTAGCACCTATCTGCTTCGCCAGGTTTTCTGCTCGTGATCTCGTCTCCGATCCACTATGCTCCTGAGGTGAGCATGCATCAATTCGACGAGTTGCCAAGTCTCTCCTCTCATGACGAGTCACTGAGGCCATGTAGCAAGTGACGAAAATCTTGCCGCAAAAATCCTCGGAAAGCAGTTTGTTAATTGTTGCACGCAAGGAAGCCACTCTGAATCCAACAAGGCCTGCCAGGAGGGCGGCGTGTAAAAGGGTCGGCGGGTCACCTTCCGAATGTCCGCGAGAACCAAAGCCTTGGACCTCCGGAAAAGCTGATGCTCGGCTCTGAAGAAAAAGAGAGTCCCACTCCGCTACGGCGCTACGGCGCTACGCCTCTCCGTACCTTCTGTCAGCTCGCGAAAGACTCGCTGACACCTCCAAACTCAAGCTTGCAGCTCATTTGCTTGGTCTGCCGTGCGGCGCTGAGGACAGCACATGATCCCAACCAGCCTGGGACCCACACGCTAAGTCACTAAGGATGTTTGTCTCAACCACAACAAGCGTCGACATCACGCTCATGTTTCAGGGCAGGGAACGCTGCAGTGGAGGATGAGTCTGCACCACCAGACAACGGGAGAAAGTACCCACGTTGCCCAGAGCGCCGAAGGTAGTCCCAAAGCCTGGAGCATCTCGACACTCCAAACAAAAGCTTGACCCCAGCCCGAGCCCAAGCCCATGCTCACCACGGGGCCATGCTGACGGTCCGTAGGCGATCTCTTCCATCGGATTTACGATCTTTGGCCTTACACGCTACACGAACAGCTGGACGGCTGACAAGATTCTCGCAAACACCCCCCCCCCTCCCTCACGTCTGCTCTCCCAGCGTCTCTATGGGCTGCGATTCGGCAATCGATAGCGGATCCGGATGGCACAAGCTGAAATCCACCTCGCCGGTCGCAGCGCCCCGGCCCCAAGCCATCTTTGCAAGCTCAAGATCTGCGCAAGATCGGCCTCGACGCGGTGCACCGTCGGTGTTGAAGACGCTTGGTAGGAGCGGGCTATAAAGTTGGAACGCATGGAGCGCACGTCGTTGAGATTCACAGTCGCAACCTGCTCACAAAGACATCAGACCGGCAAGTGCCGTGCTGTGCCTGCTATCCCCACCCCTGCTAGAAAACTGGTAGCTGGTCTTGCAAGAAGCACAACCCGTGCTGTGTAGGCCATGCAACCACGACCTCTATCTCGTCGAGCATGCCAAACTGAGTCCCTTGTGCCAGCAACTTGCCATTGCTCCACACCATGCAGCAGCCGTCAAAGTAGAGTCGGCCTGGTCAACCGCCACTAGCATCCAAACCTTTTGCCAACTAAAGCAGAGAGAGGGCGATGATGCAGCTGAAAGCGATCTGCTTTCAAGGTCCTCCATCACAGCCCTTCACATTGGCGTAGAGGTACCTCGCTGACTTACGCTCAGGCTGTCTCTCTGCGGTATTCCATATGACAGTTTTAGATTGAAGCAAGCTGCACTCCACCGCTCTTGGACGTGGCTCCCCGCACGAGATCTATTCGCTTGTCCAGCTTCCTTCGAAACAGAGACGGTGGATCATACCGGTGACCTTGTTGTAATCTTTCAACAACCTGACAAAATCACGGGTCACAGGTGCGATGGCCTGAGCTGGTGATGGCTGCCAGAGCCATTCGCAATGATTTCCACACCTCGGAGCATCTTCGGCATCTAGAATCTAGCATCATTCGAGAGATGCTTGCAGGGCGGGTCGGGGGATGGCTTTTGCTGTGCTCTGAGCCCGGCCGTCCAGTGCCAGCTTGATGTGCGGCGCGTCCGGTGTGAAGAGCTCCTCGCAGGTCTCCGTCGCCAGGCAGGTGTCTTTCGTGGAGACCGCGAAGATTCCTCAGGCTTACAACAGCTTTGTGGCCCTCAACTGCCGCAGCTTCCGACTGCATCCTGGACTCCAAACGGAACTTTGGCTTTCCCTGTGATCTCTGCGATTTCCCGTGGGAGGAAGTATTCTTCAAGCTCACCAAATCCTAAGGCCATCAGCCGGTAAAGCTGTGGTCAGGCTGAGCCAGGGAAAAAAGGAGAACCCAAGAGTTGCCTTTGAGGTTCCAGGATTGCTGGGGTCGATGTGCCAGGGCGTGAACCAGCGCATCTCGCGGTAGTTGCCATCGTTCGCTAAAAAGATCTTGGGCCGAATTCCCAGAATGCTTCCTCAGGTCAGGGACTTCAGGGATGTGAAGCCCATTTCAGAAGGCTCTTGCAGACAGCCACACGTGCAGCCAAAGAGACTGTTCACGACCCAAACTCGGCAGTTGTACGGGACATTTCTGTGCATCACCTCATCATCGGTCACACAGGAGGCTACCAATGTTATGCAGCAACTGAAATGTTGCGTGCGAGCGCAGCACTGGCATGCCAATGTCGCAGAGAATGCCGTCCGTCAGGTCCGTTTTCAGAAGGTCGGCCATTGAAGACCATGCATGCCTGCACCGTGTCGCACATCGAAAGCGTCGGTATGTGCATCAATCAGGATCTAGTTGCAAGTTAAGGGGCAGAAAGGTGTCGTTCTCAAGGAAATGATCCTTCGCAATGCACTGTCAGAGCCCCAAACTCTTTGCCCAGGCAGTCGGAGACCGCATTGGCCGTCCTCGCAGCCGTAGCCGGTAATCTCCAGCTCCGGACCGGTTCGGAAGCTGCAGCCTTGAGCTTTGGCCTCCTAGAGAAACAACTCGAAGTTGCACCACTCGCACATCTCCAATGTAGGCGCAAGTCCACTCCTTGATGGACTCCTTGACACGTTCCAGGTTGCCCTTGAAATCCTGGAAGGACTGGGGGTGAATGAGAAATCGTATGCTAAGCCAGGCTGTGAAGGCAGGGGTGGAGTTCTATGTGCTGAAGTGCAGAACCAGCTGCCCATGCACTATGCATCTCTTTTGCTGTGAAACGTGGAACTCACACTTGGATAATTGCAGAGCACGTCTCCATGGCCCATTGGTTCAGATTGCAGGTTGCAACCTTTACCTCAGCTGCATTCTCATCAACTGTGCACACAACTCCTCTCCACATTCTTCCATGCGCAACATATGCTGGCAAAACTGGTCGCATCAGCTGTTAGTTCCCCCGAACCTCGCAAAAAGAAGTCGCATCGGCTCGAGCAGGTCAGACCCATCTCCCGATTCTGACCAGTCAAACCAAGTTTCCAGCTTCGGGGCTTTGACAGTGCTCGAGCACAGGCGGGCCTTACACGGAGCACTCTGCAGCAGCCTCTGCGCTCTGGGCTCTTGGCTTCAAGACTTGCGCCTTCTTTGCGGGCTGCATGACGCAAAGGGCCCCAAGATGCCAGGTTGCTGCAAGCAACAGGCCTGCAGGATCGAACTGCAAATCTCATCGCTTTTGACACTTCAGCTCCGGGGGCAGGGTGCCTCTGGGCGAGGCGCCACCGGCGCTCTCTGCGAGCCGGAACAGCTGCGAAGGCGGTGGGGGACGTCTGTTGGAGCAAAATCCAAAGAAAGCTGTTCGCCAACTTCGTTTGTTGGTGCCTCCTCGTGGTGCTGATCTGCTGGGCTTCGCGCAAACCTGTACCGGACGTACTGCCACTCGGACCTCACAGACAGTCAATATGCCCCGCCCATAAGCCATAACATACACGACACGAACATGCTGCCAACGCTGCCTGCGGCTCATTGGCGGCTGGACTCACGCCGGAGACTTGACGGGCAGACCTTGGAGAGAGCCACTGACACTGAACGGCTCCGATTTCCTGCACCTCCGCCGAAGCTGGAGTCCGGTGCTGCTTGCTTGGGAAACCAAGCCGCAGCAATTCCGCTTTTTGCAACAAGCAGTTACAAGCGGAGGCCAGTTGCAAGAAAACGTACATCATGTGGAACCTCCAGGATTTGACGAGAACCTTTCTTCCTGAACAGCAGTGTTGGATTGCGTCGTTGCGTCCTTGTGGCGCAACGGTCCGCTCTTGAAGTTTTCACTTCTCAGCCTAATCCTCTTAAGACGGGCGCCGCTGCCTCTAATGGGGGTTACGTTTGCCGACTGCCTGTCCTTTTCAGCCTGAACCCATCTATGAAGCTCCGGTCCTTAGGACGTCCACACGGCGGCGCCAGATGCGATCCCGAGCCTCTGGCAGAGGTTGCCGATTTGGAGCAATGTCTCGCCTGCCACTCTTCTGGGAGGACCACGGGAGGTCAAGCAGGTGATCACACACAAAAGCAAGTCGACTCCTGTTTGCGCCCGACTGGTGGGGCTCTCTGCGCAGAGGTGCTCTGCACCGTGTCACACCGTGAGGAGGGGTCCCATTTTGGGAAGGAGCTAAAGCCAACAGGCATACATGCATGTTTTCGAGTGGATACGATTGGCGGGCGTGCGCCTTCTAAGACTATCACGCAATGCCGCCCACCGCAGACTCCGTCGCGCAAGACGTAACTTTGTCAAGTTCAACATGCCTTGGGCCTCGGCCACCGAACAAGCTGGCTGCTGCAACGGAGCTGAGGGCAGTGAAACCCTAAGCTGTCTCATGCGCCGACCAAAACGCTTCGTTTTGACTAAGCTTATTCCGAAAGAGGTTAACGTGAAGAGAACTCACACAAGTTCTATCACCCATCGTCGGAAACCCAAGGCGCAGGCAACTACTCTAAGATCGTGTGCGGAGCACGTGCAAGCGGCTGCCTATCCAATCCTGGACAATGCAAAGCCTAATTCAGCTGTTCCAACGCCTTACGAATTAGATGCTGCTAGGGCTTCTGAGAGCCGCAGCGAAACGCAGGGAGGACCAAGTGACCTCGAGCCAAGTGCAGAAGGGTTCTGGGTCGGCGGTAGGTAAGGTACAAACTTCCCGCACCTTGTCGGCTCTTCAGCCAGCCCAGGTCATCGAAGCCTTCTCGCCTTCGGAACACGTGTTCCGTGTTACCTCCAGCATCCTAAAAACACCGAGCCCTGCACCCGCACCGACTGCACCCTTTTCATCCGGCCCTGGCAGCATGAGCAGCAACGGCAACATAGCACTACAGAGCACGCGTTGCTGGTCTTTCCACCTTGCTGCGCGCCAGGCCGGGCATGGATGTCCGGTAAAGACACGGTGTTTTCGCCCTTGCTGTGTATCCGCCTGCACAGGGAACAGTGGTCAGAAGAAGAAGCAGCCTGCTCTTGAAAAGGCATGTTGGTAGAGATGGTTCTCCCAGAAAGAATCTGGGATGCAGTGACGCTCAACTTCACCAGTGCAAGCTGGCCAGGATGGGCTGACGGGCCTCTCTCGCTTCCAGCTGTGCTTCCTGAGCCAAGAAATCTTTGTGACGTGCTTCCGATGTCTTCTTCTATCACTATCCCACGCAGCATTGGCATCCAAGGGTCTTCATTTCCTGGGCCTCTGCCTCCAGCTTCAGGGCGAAGGTGCGGAACATGTACTGCACCTTCCAACCGTGGCTTGAGGTCTTCTTGAAGTACGCGACAAAACGCCGATCTCCAGTCTTCAGTCTTATGCTTGACAAAGCTCCCGACATTCTGTAGCTGCGTCCGCTTTCCTTCAATCACTGCCCCATGCTGGGAAGAGATCATGGACCTCATCGGGACTACCAGCCACGCATGGCGACAAGGGTGGGTTCGCCGTTAATCTGCTGTAGACTTGCTGTTTTTCCTACAAGTTTAGGCCACCGCATCTTCTGGTCCAGCCGCCAGGCATGAAAGCACCTCCAAGCGGCTCAGCGGTCAGCATGCTCTATCAGTGAGTGAGTGAGTGAGTGAATGAGTGAGTAAGTGAGTGTCGACCAGCAATTACGGTGCGGCCTACCTCCCACGTCCCTCTCAACATCTCAGGGGGGGGGAGCTCCGCAAGCGTCATGGCCCCCCTCCGTCCCAGAGTTCAAGTCTGCGAAGAACTAGCTAGTGCGGACAGGTCACGGCGTAGAATGCTAAGATACTTGTTTCAAACCCAAGAATCGGAGAGACATAGTCCTTGATCAGGGATAAAGCAGGCAGGAGGCCAAGCCAGACGTCACGAACCAATCAGACTTATACATGTATGCGCCAAAGAACACACCAAGTAACCGGCAGACGCAAAGAGTTGCAAGGGGGCGAACCGCCAGTGCCGAGGGAGTGCGGCTCCATGCACAGAGGGCACACACAAGGCGACCCAAAGGCGCGCGCCATGTGCCGAGGGAACACTGTTCCAGCACCGAGGGCGAGCACGCCACCAATCAGGCACATAACTAAACATACACACCACTGCGGCAATGAACAGCACAGAGGACCAGCCCTGGAACAAAGCCCATAACAAAGGCAGCAATCCCGCGAGCTGATAATGCATGTGATGAGCGTGGAATACCTCACCTCTAGACTGGATGTTTTCAGGCCCACGATGGGTGGAGACGTTGCCATCGTCGGATCACTATCATGTTCTCATGCGAAAACTTCCAGTGTAGAGCCTCAGCGTGAGGATCTCATCCAAGTAGTCAGATGCCTGCGGTGATTCGCCATCTTCGCGCTTCTATCTCGCTCTCTCGCACCTGCTCCATCGTCTTCAGTGCCGACCCGGCATTTTTCGCCTTGGTTGCTGACGGCGCCAATGTCGTTTCGCACTTCCGCTCCAAACTCAGCGCTGCGCCCCAAAAGACGAAAGCTTGCCCTGCACAGAGGACAGGCTCTCGGCCATGTTGCTGCTCTGTTTGGCTTCCTGCAAAGCACTGGCAACGCGACGAGAAGAGTGTGGACACCCACAGCCAAACGCAGCCCCGTCCTGCAGCGTTTGAACCCAGGAGCGCATGGCGATGCTGAGCCTCGAGGCGAATCTTTCGTAAACACTTCCCCATCTGAAAAGTCTATCTTGCTGGACTCGCTCTCTGCTTGCATCCAGATTCAATCCAACATCAAATTGCTCTGCTAGTCGTGCACAAGTGGTCCGGGTCAGACTCCGATTTGCCTTCGCAGAGGCTTTAGACTTTAGACAAAGGTACGGCTGGCACGTTCAGGTCTGCAGGCCAGCCTCTTGCAGCTGTGCGAGCTTCTTACGTGTAGTGACTAACCACCGTTGAAGCTCCTGTTCCTGCCCATGGGTCTGCGAGGAGATTCGAAGGCACAGGACTCAGGCACCAGAAACATGCAGAAGCGAACAGGGCCTTGCGCTTGGTGCCAACCTTTCCAACACAACACACTTGATCGACTGTCAGAAGGGTGACCACCATGTCGTTTCAGAACGTTTGACCAGCTCAGACGATAGCCAAGGGCAAAAACTGTGCTAGGGCCTCTTCTGTTTTGCATCATCTCAGACGAATCGGCCCCGTTGTGGTTGAAAGCCCATAGAATGCACGGCACCGGTGACCCTTGAAGCCCAATCAGTACCCGAGGCCCTGCCACGCGCTGACGGGAGCAGCCCATGCAGTCTGGGATCCAGACTTCCCCCTGCCAGGCCCTGACACAGGCCGTGATCAGACCGGTGTAAGACACTGCCTTGGGATTTGCAAGGTGCATAGAACAGGCTGCCAGGTCGCAGTGCTTGCCTGGTGCCGCTAGCTTCAGCTTTCGGGCCGAGTTGCTGTTACCGACTCAATCACTTGTTTCATCCGACCAGCCTGGAAGTTAGAGACATCTCTGCTCTGTCCACTGCATCATGCAGGCCCCGAAACCTCACCTGTGTCGCCTTCAGCGTGGCCAGCTGCCTCTCAACTTTCCTGTAGCTGCGGCTCAAGTTTAACAGTTTTGAAGCGCAGATATGGACATGCGGGTCACCCCCTCTCTTGCCATCGCGCGTCTTCACCTCCAGCCAAACATCATTGTCGATCTTGCTCTCTTCGACCTCCCGGCCCAAGCCGGCCCCCACGGCCCCCACGGCTCAAGCAGTGAAGCTCAGGCCCGGCAAAGCATCGCCTCCTCTCGCCAGGTGGCAAACAACTCTCGCTTGAGCTGTAGTATTCCCGCAGCGCTCTTCCGCCTAAAGCAGAGCCGAAAGAAGAGAATAAAAGCCAAAGCATGTCTTCACAGGCGGACGGGTCGCATGAACATAGACCGCACCATTGCCAACTGGTCTTGTTTGCACTTCGCCAGCTGCTTCTGCATCCTGCTTGCAGCGATACGATCACGTCCTAACTCTCTGTGCGCCAACCAATTTGCAAATCAGACCCTCGGACGACCTCTCTATGCGGTCTCTGTACTCGCGGTGCCTCAGCTGGCCAAATACCGTGCACCAGTTTTCTCTGTGCTGACACATTTGCAGGCAGAGAGCACAGCAGTTTCAGATTTCTCGCCTGCGAAAGCAAAACAGGCGGGTGCTGCTGCTCACTCCACGAGTGACCAATCTGATGTGCTCTGATGTTCAGAGAAGGCGCGTCGCATGATACAGAGCCATGAGGCGAGAATACTCCTGAGGATGGGCAACGGGACACAGGGCAACTGGCCGCTGTTGGCCGATGCGAATGGAGGCCAAGGTTCTTGAGCAAAGCGGTGACACTTCCATGCAGGAAGGTCGCCACCACTTTCTTGGCCTGAGGAGCTGATCGCAACACACGCAAAGCATTGCAAAGAATGATTTTGCGCCTTCTCGTTCTGAGAGACGGTGTTGTTGTGAAGGACAGCATTGGCAGCTGCAAGCTTCTTCTTCGCAGCCATGGCTTCTTCCTGCCCTGGCCGGCTTGCTCAACAGCCAGGCAAAACCAAAACCCATCGTCGGTCGCCGCTGTGAGGCCTCTGACGAGCATGGAAAGCTTCAGCTGGGACTCCTGTCAGGGCAGTCACGACGCCTGCCGGCTCGTGTCAGTGCGAGGCCGAGAGGCCTGGATCCAAGCTTTGTGTTGCAGGCCAAGAGTCATCACATCGCCGCCAGCCTGGGAAGTGGCGCTCAGACGGAATGCTCAAGCCGGCAAGTGACAAGCGGTCGGGGCCGAAGGCCTGGCCTGGACGACCGCCATCTTCATGACCTTCGACCAGCAGATGCCGCTAAAAGAAAGAATCTCTTCTTCCCTGTTGCCCTTCGAGCACGAAACGAAGGTCATGCCGAGGAGCGTGTGGCCCGACATTGGACAGCTCGACGTCATCTAAGGCTTGTGAGACCTCCTCCGGCCTGGCTTCCTCAGCCAAGACTTGAGCAGACCAAGTCTCTGCTTTAGAAAACAGCGCCTCCAAGCCCTTGCGGATCCGGAGAGCAGCAGACCTTGCAAAGCAAATGCGGCTTTGCGACTGGCAGGCAGAGGCGCCGAGGTGGCCATGCTGCTCGCTGCTCCCCTCCGACACATTGCTCGGTGCCGAGCACCACGAGCTGGAGCTCCAGAAAAAAGGCTTGGAACCTGGCGAGGAAGCAAAATGGCCCCTGGCATGACAAAGTGCTCAAGGTTTCTGCTTTGCTTCGCTTCTCAACTCCAAGGGACTGCTCGCTGGATTGTTCTGGTATCTTCTGAACCAAAGCATCGATCAGCCTTGGTTTCACTTCCGTCATCTCAGTAGCTCCAGATACGGCCCAAGGGGCCTCAGCCACCTCAGCCTTTCTGGGCCTCCCCGCTCTGAGTCGCCCAAGCCGGACAAGTGCGCTTCGTCCTCCGGGCTCAACTCGACCTGGGGCACAAGCCAGTGTGGGGCATTGGAATAGACAAAGAAGTGTGCTCGAAGTTGGCTGGACTCAAGTGGCCGAGGGATCGACACCATGTTGGCCAAGCAGCTTCACCGCTGCCTTGTCAAAAGCACTGCGCAGAAGACGAAGGCTCAGGGCGACTAAGAACTGTGTAGCAAACCGGATTTCCTGGCCTGCGCTGACTGGTACCTTCAGGTCAGAAGCTCTCGGCTCTGTCTTTGCGAACGCACATCAGCGCCGCGCCTGTCCCACTTGCAGGCCAGTATCTCCTGATCAAGGCCAAACCGCACCACTTCGACTGACTGACATTGACATGGCTCGTTTCAAGCCATGGCTCGTGAAGCTTTCTTCGGTGCGTCGTCTCCAGGAATCCTTGGCTCGGGCTTCAGCAGACTGCGCGAATCGGTTTCCTGCTGCACATCTGAGCTGCTGGTGACCATAAACCGGATCGCGTCCTGACATTCCGTTCCAGCAAGCAGCGCAGCCCTGCGGAGCCTAGCGGATCGCAAAGCCTCCACCGTGGGTAGCTCGAAATCCTCTGGTCGCTGGGTCAACTCCTCCACATCCTTGGCAATCTGCAGAGAGTGGTGTGCCAGGGAAGCCATGGGAGAAACAGTGCTCACATCCAGATCGCCCGTGCCGAGGTACCGCGTCAGCCATCTCCCCTGCGGGGAACTTCTGCTGGCTGGCCGAACAGTACTTTGGGCCAGCTCCAAATGTGGCTGAAACAAGACCTTTGGGCCTAAACGGCATGTCAGCAGGCGAAGTGAATGACTTGCCTTCAACGTGTGCTTCCCGAGCTAGTCATCTAATCTTTTCGTTGATAAGAAGCAGCAGCTTGACATGCCGTGTCCGTCTTCGTCCGCAGCCTAGGCTGCGTGGTGAAGTGCTTGGATGTGCGGTCCAGGCATCCTGCCCGCTGCACAGCTTGCATCTGAAGCACATGGAAGAAATAAGAAAGCCGACGTGGCACAAGGCATGCTGCCCCAGACCCTCGGCGGCCTGTGCTTTGCATGCGGAGTAGCCTGGCCTTGGCGTGGCAAAAGCACATGCGGCTGCCACGGGGAGCACTGCATGAATGCCGTCAGCCAAGAGGCATCAGGTTTCGCAGGCGCCTCTCGCGCTCTGCGAACCTGCGCGAGGGTTTAAAATCAGAGCTGATGCTATTCACGTCCCATTGTGGATGCGACGTCACTCAGATTTTCGTCAAACACTGACGGGCGCATTCAGAGGTACGCTCATTCTCGGCATCGCTCTGTAGGCTATCTCGCGCTCCTCGGACTTGGCACGGCTTGGGTTCAGCCAAATCTCTCTCGACTGCGTCAAAGCTGCATCCATCTCTTGCCGCAGAGCTCGGGATACCTGTCCAGGCTGCAGGCTGCCTCTGCCACTTGACTCTTCAGACTTCACCACCCACCATCCGGGAATGAACGCCCGGAACCCAGAGTCTGAAGGACTGAAGGGGACCTCTGCACGGACAGGGTTTGCGAAATCGCAGGATGCGTCGGAGGCCAGGGACTGCACTTCCGGCGAGGGGTGGCCTGAGCTCTGAGAGAAGGAGCGCAGCACTGAGCGCAGCCAGCGCAGGTTCACGGCTACAAAGCTGCACGACTGCGCGGTCGGTGCCTCTGTATAGGTCCTTCTGCTCGCAAGGGTGACAGAAGAAGGATTGCAAAATGTAGCGGGTACCTGCTGAATTGGCCGCTCTCAGGTCTGTTTCAGAAGAGGAGAAGCTGGCCTTCGCCGGCGTGACGCGCATCGTGGACGTGTGTATCCTTAGATATAGATAATTAGATTAGTAGGGTGGATGGGTGTGGGTCGGTGTGGACACGCCGCCGGTTTGGGACTCTACATAGGGCAGTGCCAGCCTCCCCGTTTGCCAACCGGCTTGCCTGCCGAGCGTCGTCCCAGATGACCGTCCGACCAGCAGCCCAAGGCAGACTTCGTGCAGAGCCCACATTGAGCACTGCGCCGGGAGGCGTCACTAACCCGAGGTGGGCAGCAAGGCGGCGCGAGTTGCCCAAATGCCTCGAATCAGAAAGACATGTCGGGGAATGGCCGAGACTTGCAGGGCATGTGCGAAATGCATCCACGGCACGGTTTCAGCCACGCCCCGGGCTCAAGCCTTGCGAAGAAGGCCGCCGCTCGGGGACAGTCCGCGAGCTCGGGTCGAGAAGCCAGCAAGGCGCAACTTCGCTGTGCAAAGGCGCACCTGCGGCGACAGCGGAGAATGCTCTGCTAAGCTGCTGAAGCTTCTGCTGCACTAGGTCACTAGGTCACTATAGGCTGCGAACGTCGGCAGCAGCAGCGACTCATCTCTTCCATCAAGCAATTGTATGTGGCCGCGCGTGTCCTCTGTGTGGACTCAAGCCGCTCAACCCGCTCAAGCCAAGCAATGCCAGGCTCAGGAGATCAAAACAGACAACACAGCTGCAGCGGACTTCCCAACACACACAAACATTCTGTTCCAAATACTCGCTGCTACGAGCAGGAGAAGAAAGCTACACGAAACATGCGAAACTAAATCATTTCCGGAACACATTGAATTCTCACCATGCTGGCATGCATCAGGCGGCCAGACTGCCAGCCCTTCCGCATTGCGAGCTGCCCGTCGCAACTGTTCAAACAAGCCTTCCTGGCGACAGCGGGACGCGAGCAGTACCCAAGACACTCTCTCTCTGTCTCTGTCTCTCTCTCTCTCTCTCCCTCCCTCCCTCCTCCACGATAAATTCAAAAACAGCACGGCTCCTGGGACAGAATGCTTTGCAAGTCTTGAAGAAAAACATCGAAGTTCGACTCCAGGAACTCGGCATAGGGAAAGCTGCTAGACGGCCAGACTGCTCCAAACGTGCGCGGGTACAGCTCGTCATTCAGGGCCACATCTGAGGGAAGTCTCCTGGTGCCGTCAACCCTCGAGCGAAGCGAGAAGCACTCTGATGCCTGATGACATAACGATGTATAAGACTGCATAATGCAGACTTGTCTCCAACCAATGGCACCGAGCATTGCCTCACGCGGCGTCTGAGTCTGATCCATCCTTTCTGGCTAAGATCACCATGAATGGCCGAGGCAGATCACATCAAAGCCATTGCAGCCAGAGCAGCGTGGTAAGGGCTCTCCTCCATGAGTCGAAAAGCCTCTTGCGCCGCGCGAAGCACTCTTGCTGACTCCTTCAGCTCTCGGCCTGGCAATCTGGCAGCACGGCTAACACTGTTACAGGGAGGGCAGGAATGCAGTTGGAGGCCGGTGCTTGTGCTCTTGCCATGAAGGGAGTGCCACTGGCAAAAAGAACTAAAAGCCTGTGAGACTGATTGAACCGTTGAAGATCACCAGAGTCGACAGTTCAGGGACTTCCGCGACTAGTGGTTTGTCACATTGGGTGGCTGTGCGTGTCAGGCAACCTGCAGGGGAAAACGGCATGATGGTGCTTCCGGAAAGGCTCACGCGAAAGACCGCAGGAGAGCTCCCAGCGCCTTCGGCGAGCGAGGCACCGAGTTCGTTCTGCACCAGGAAGAGCAAGGCCAACTTCTGCTGGCACATGCCCACGAGAAAGCCTCTCATTGCTACGTGAGCTGTCGCTGTCGGTTGTCGAGGATCAAGATAGATGCTGATACTTCTTCCGAGGAGCTCTGGGGGTCTTGGGCTGAGTCCAAGCAGCGGCTGAAGGCGACAGACACCTGGCAGAGACTGGCAGCTTTGGAAGCTCTGGCCGCTCTGCGGCTCCGTGGTTATAAATGGCGCAGTCTCGCTGAAAGCCTGGAGGAGCTGCTCGGCCAGCACCATGTCCTCGATGTTCAGCATGGCTGAGGGTGGCAGGCCGGCATCTGGGTCCCAGTCCTTCACAGGCACACGATCTACCTGGAAGGTGCCACAGTGGAACCAAGCCATCCTCCCGGTAGAAGCAGAAGTGGTAGAGGCCATTTGCAATACCAAATGCTATCGCTGGCCAAGTGGTCAGTGCAATCCCGGCCATTTCTCGAAGCTTGGGGGTAACCTGCGCCAGGCCTTCAGGAACGAGTTGACAGGGAGCTGCGCAACCATGCAACGAATGAGTGCATTGCCCCCCGGCACCTGTCCCCAAATGGTAGTACTCCTCGAACAGAGACTGCTGCAGCAACTCCTGCATTCTAGACTCCAGGGGTACTGGCATCCCTCTGCAGGCTCTCTCTGCCCCTCCTGATTCCGAAACTCATCGCTCGGAGAGAGCTCTGGTGGAGTCCAGGCCGCTGCCAGGAAAGGGATCCCGATCCCAGGGAACCTTAGAAAAAATGGTTTGGGGTATCTGAGCTCTGGGTTTCATGCTGTCTTCCGGACGAGGTCAAAGAGTGCTGCAAGCAGGCAACAAGGAGCTGCGCATGGTCGCACCATGACAGAAGCTCGAAGGAGGCCGGGCTCTAGCAACACAAATGCTCATATCGGTTCGTACTCTTGCGCGCAGTCATGTAAATCAAACCACTTGCTATCCGAGGTCATGCCGGAGCAGGATGATATGTTGTTTGGCAAGGGGACCTACAATTGTCATCTGTTGCTGCGGCATCGTGTGTGTCTGTCTGTGTGTGTGTGTGTGCCCTTCCGTCTGTTGTGTGTGTGCTCACAAACCATACTGACAAACAGCTGCGGCTGGATCGTTCCGTTTCGCGACAGGCGAACAATGGCAGACGGTGCAGACAACCTGGTTACATTGGCTAAATGGCGAAAGTATTTCGCTCCCGCCCATGTTTCGGCCGAGTCGACGAGTTCGGCCCTCTCCACACGCTCAGCCTGAGCCCGAGTGGCTGGGCGGCGACGTGCCACTGGACTGCGGGCTCGGCAAGCAACGGCCTTCGGCCCTTCGGGCCCTTCAAGGCCTTGTCGGGCTGCTCGAAACGGAATCGGGGCGATGCGGTGGTGATGGTGGCGCGTGATCTTTCGGGACATCTCCAACAATCTTGGCCTTGTCGCACAGAACCGAACCGCGTCATCACGTGTCTTCGGCGGACCACTCCCGTGGGAGATACAGAGTCTCGTTGGGCAGCGCAAGCCAATCCTCACCACACAGCCACGTTGCGATTGCAGAAAGGCGCTGACAACACCGATGAAACGGAAAACGACACGGGCGACTGTGTCCTCATAGCCCTGCCACTCAGAGCTGTAGTAAATGGATGGCAAGGCAGGCAGTCGCAAGCTTCTCAACCCTCGGATTTTCATACGCCACAGATCCGGCACATGGCTGGTGGATGAGATGCGAGCTAGTAGTGGCCGAAGCACTCACGGGGTCATCCTCAACGAAGGCGTACCAAGCTTCCTGGCTCTGCAGCCCGAGCATCCTCGTGCAAGCGTCTGCCACACGCTGCTACACACTCCGCATCAGCCATGGGCTGTGCACAGATGCAAGCTCTGTCGTCCTTGAGACCAGGCGCGCCTGGCACCCCACACAGTTGAGGCACGTGTAAAGTCCTACAGATAGGAGCTCCGGAGCACCTTGCTGAATGGCAGGATGCAGCCCAGGAAATCATCCCAGCCCTGCCACTCTTCGGCGTACATGGCCTCAAAGACTCTGTCACACTCCTTGCGGCCATCCTCTGCTATTTGCGGAAAGGCACTTCGGGGTCATTCGGGACATAGGGCCCCAAGAAGGGCGACTTCTTGCCCTCGGAAACCCATTCATCCCATTCCTCACCTGAGCCGGCAGCTGCCTCGAAAGAGCTTCTCGCTTCGAGCAGCTGCGACGAGGCCCCGGCGGCTCCCGAAGCCGATGGCCTGCACGCAGCGTCGCGCCTGGCAGCCAGTCCCTGCCAGTCCCTGCCAGTCCCGGCCCCGGCCGGTCCCTTCAGTCGCTTCTCATCCCTTTGGGGCGACCTCGTCGAAGGGCAGCACGCGGCGGTATCGCTTCCGCCAATTCGGTCTGCTGACATACGAACCTCAGCTTGGAACATCTTGGAATCGCAGACTCTTGAAGGATGGCCCAAAGGACGAAGATATGAGCTCTGCCTATCAAGGTTTCACACGGCCCAACTTTGTCTCGGAAACTGCTGTTCGCGGCGCCACTGGCAGGCTCCTGCTGCACAGGTTTTCTCTGGCCCGAAGGCCCACACAATTAGGCATGGCCTCTGCGGCTCCAGGCAGAGAGTGCACGACCAAGTCTGATGCGCCC